GCATCTTTTAGGAGGAAGGCAGGATCAATACTGCCAGTCATCTGATGAAACAAAAAAATTGCTTCTTTCTTGACTCTACGACTAAAAGTAAATGGGGAGTATTTTTCTCATGACCCTGTTTATTTAAATGAAAGCTCTTTTTCAAAGACAAGCATTAATACATGCAACTCAAAAGATTTCTGAAACCCTTCTGGTCCAACTAGAAAAGGACCGTGAAGAGAAGGCTTATGGAAATCTGAATCCCAACAGGCACCCTCTCTAGTAAGGGAAGAAGTATTTCTTCAACAACGACACCTTTGTTGTGTTAGATTCTACAGGTTGGGGGCGCCTGGGTGGCTCAGTCATTAAGCGTCTGCCTTCGGCTCAGGTCATGATCTCGGGGTCCTGGGATCGAGCCCCGCATGGGGCCTCTTGCTCAGCAGGGAGCCTGCTTCTCCCTCTCCCACTCCCCCTGCTTGTATTCCCTCTATCGCTGTGTCTCTCTCTGTCAAATAAATAAATAAAATCTTTAAAATTAAAAAAAAAAGATTCTACAGGTTGTATGTGCTTGTAATTCCTGGAGGAGGGATTATTGGGACAAGACTTTAAAAGAGTTTCATTAGAATGAGAGAGCCAGCTTCCATGAAAATCCACGTACCTCCCCTTTAGCTAAACGGTTAAAGGTGTCACCAGGGTGGTGAATGGTATTCAAAGACCTGTTGTTCAGGAGGGGTGGGGAGGGGGGCAGGAAGCTCTGTTGGTGTGAGAGGAGAATGGAATGTTTTAGGGAGGGGGGGGTTGTAATTTCCAGGGGCAGGGCGGGCAGCACGGTGGGAAGGTCTGGCTCCAGCTTGAGCCCACTCACAGGATGTCAGGGGGAAGTGTGACTAAGGTCACGGCCACGCTGCGTGGTGGGCCAGCTGTGGCCACACATCCTGAGTTTCCATGGTCTAATGCAGTGGGTTTGAAAGAAAGGGTGGATGCAGGATGCTGGCTGGGCGTGCAGAGTGCGTGGGCTGTTAGCTCTTAAGTGACAGTGGGCGGGGATTACAGCATTTCATCTGCTTTTCCTTTGACACCTTTTAAAGATACAACCCACGGTTTTCAAGGGCTTACGCCTGTGTCTGCTGGAGGGATCTTAAACCCCTTCCGATCCTTAGGAGCCCAAGGAAAAATTTCATTTGAGTACCCTTTGCAACAAACATGGAAATTGAGAATTAGATGGAGAGTCCGAAATGCTGTTCCTGTTCAGAAGTTTGCAAGGGAGTCATTTTGACGTCCTTCTCAGGGAATTTTAAGACGTGTCCATATCTGAGAAGTCTGCATACATTTCTTGTAACTTTCCTTTGGAGAAGGGGCTGTTCAGGATGTGTAGCAGGTTGGGTTTCAGAATTTCAGCAGCTTTATGCTGTTGTCATCCAGTTTGACAGATTGAATGTGCACTTAGAGGAAATGGAGTGTATTTTTTTTTTAAAGATTTTATTTATTTATTTGACAGAGACAGAGATAGCGAGAGCAGGAACACAAGCAGCAGGAGTGGGAGAGGGAGAAGCAGGCTTCCCCTCGAGGAGGGAGCCCGATGCGGGGCTCGATCCCAGGACCCCGGGATCATGACCTGAGCTGAAGGCAGACGCTTAACGACTGAGCCACCCAGGCACCCTGGAATGTATTTTTAATCGCTGGAATGTATTGTACCTAAGGAACTCGGGAGAGTGTATGTCAGGTTTCAGCTGTGATTAATATTTTGCTGATGAGTTTTCAACTCTGTGGCATGCTTAAGCTCTGCCTCTCCTTGACCAACAATGCCTAGTACTTCTTGACTGTAAAATGATAAACGAGTCTCAGAAAATCGGTCCGGGATTTCCATCCTCTGTTCACGTGAAGATTTGAGAAGGCTCATGTGCACATTTTTAATTTCTTAATTTTGAACAAAAAATTTATTACTAAAAAGTATGAAGTATGAATCTTTCTTCCCTCCCCACCCCCCCAGCAAATGAGAAGATATGCTTTATGGAATGAGGAAAGGGCTTTTCTTTTGGATTACTCGGTAGTTTGAATTCAAAGCATTTGAGTTCAAGTATCACCATAGAAACATGGGTGGGAGGCTGTAAGTACTGTTATTGTCAGACATCTCTGTTCAAAGTGCTGTGTTTTTAAGACCATGCCTCCTGGCAAGAATTCACTGAAGTGTATAAAGCATTTCCTTTAAAGTGCTAAGTATTTATTTGGTTCCTGGGTTCTTTCTAAAAAATTAAAGACTTGCATTCCTCCTACAGAAAGAGAAGATAGAAGAAATCACAATCTTCAGTTCTAGTATTTTGAACGTAATTGCCATATTCAAAATATGTGCATTTACCTTCAAAATCAGATTCCTGGAAGAGACAGGTATCTGCTTGAGGAGCTGTGACTTCTTCAGCAGAAAGAAAAAGTGGGAACCCACCCACATTTCTTTTTTTTTTTAAATTCTGACTGCCATTACGTATTCTTTTTTTTAATATTTTATTTATTTATTAGAGAGAGAGAGAGAGAAGGAGGGAGGGAACACGAGCAGGGGGAGGGGCAGAGGGAAAGGGAGAAGCAGACTCCCCACTGAGCAGGGAGCCACATGAGGACATGGGGCTCGATCCCAGGACCCCGGGATCATGACCTGAGCCGAAGGCAGACACTCAACCGACTGAGCCACACAGGCGCCCCCCACCCACATTTCTTGAGTGCCTCTCCTTTGCACTCCTGGAAGCAGGTCACCCCTTCTCCTTATGGTTTCTTGAAGTCAATTTACAGATTGGAAAGAAAATTCATAAACGGGTTGATCAGTGTGGCTTTGGTTGGGTGGGAGGATGATGAGAAGGAGAGGCTGCAGAGATGGGTGTGTTTGGAGAACTTAAAACCAATGGTTCTCAACTGAAGATGACTTTGCCGCCAGTGGACATTTGGTAGTATACGGAGCTGTGAGTGGGGGGGTTGTGGAGATGCTGTTGGCATCTAATGGGTGGTGGAGACCAGGAATGCTGCTAAACACCCTATGATGCACAGGACAGCCCCCGCCCCCAACAACAAATGATCTAGTCCCGAATGTCAACAGTGCAGATGTTGAGCAACCATGACTTAAAATTAACACAGAATCGCAGTGAAAGCCAATGTCCTCCCTTCCTCAACGGAGATGTATGGAAGACATTTTAGCTGGATTCCTCCATCTTAGCAAATAGCTGTAAGGATTATTTCTAGACCTCTCATGGAGTGGAAACTCCAGCTTACTAACAAAAGGATTTGCTTGTGATTTCTGGGCTCCATTATTCTTTAGGTTTTCATTTTCAGGATACACTTCTTTTCTCCAGCCCCCATTTCCCATAGTATAATTATGGTTTCTACTTCTACTTGCTCGCTCCACCATAGAGGTAATAATTAGCCGGTGGCCATTCAGTGTGAAGTATTCTTTTGTCCTGGGTATTTGGAGCCTGCTATTACATTGCCCCTGAGACTTAGATACCATCAACCAGTCAGGAGTGCTGGAGGGTGTTAGCATTGCTTAGGTCAGTACTAAGCATAAGAAATAGTAGGGTCACAAAGTCAGAATACAATGCATTGTAAGAATCTGGCTTTGTTAGCACCAAGTGGCATCAATATGTGGTTCTTGTTAAGAAAACACTTAAGTTCTATTTAAAGGAATTTTTTTGAAGTTTGTTTATTTACTTACTTTTAGTAATCTTTACACCCAATTTGGGACTTGAACTCACGCCCCGAGATCAGGAGTTGCCTGCTCTTTAGACTGAGCCAGCCAGGTGCCCCAAAGTTCTACTTTTTAAATGTTTAGCTTGTGCCTGGAGACTCAGAGATTGAGTTGCAAGACCTCAGCAGTTTAGAGGTCCCGGCCTCCCATCTGCCATCCAAACAGGTTCCTTTCTTCAGCATTCCAAGTGGTCATAGATTTGTAAGAGGTAATGTACCCATAGTATCTGGTGCAATCCATCATTCTTAGACATTTTGGAACACTTACCGCTGTTTTAAATGTCAGAACGCTAAAATCAATGAAGAGATAGAATGGAACTGAGGCAAGAGAAGAAAGCTGGAAGGCTGAGGAAAGGAAAGTTTGTGAAGAATGGGAAGTGTCAAATAGACCGGCCCTCCCAGGGGTGCATTGTGCGTGTCAGGAAATCTTTTTGAGCACCTAGCAGGTGGGAGTTCTTTAGGCACTGGGGATGCAGTAGAGAGAGGGGAGGGATAGGATTTAGCCCAAACTGAAAGGGCAGATGGAGGGAACAGCAAATAGAACATTCTAGTCTGTTGCTTTTATAAAATAAAACCTTTTATTGTGTCCTGGGAGAAGAGCACATGTCTGCTTCTTAGTTTTATTTAGGAAGTGTGCTTAATTACTTGAAAAGGAAATGATCTCTACCCTCTTAAAATTATATTGTAAAAAGATTCCATCGCTCTCGCTACCCAAACAGAGGTGTATATGGGTATAAAATAACACACAAATAAAACGGTCTTCTCAGTTCTAGACATTAACTGTCCATTTGAAAAAATAGAGCTCTACCCCCCCTTTACCTTTCTAAAAAAATCACTGAACATGGACACACAGGCTTTTGTCGTGGTTCACTGAATATTAACCTTTCGCCTGCTAGCAATTTAAATTCCACAGAAAAATACAAAACAACCTCATTATTTAAAACAATATTTGGGGGGCGCCTGGGTGGCTCAGTCGGTTGAATGTCTGACTCTTGATTTCAGCTCAGGTCATGATCTCAGGGTGGTGAGATCAAGCCCCACGTTAAGCCCTGAGTCTAAGCCCTGGGTCTGGCTCCTCGCTCAGCAGGGAGTCTGCTTGAGATTCTCTCTCTCCCTCTCCCCCCCCCCCCCGCCACTCTCAGTCTCTCTCTCTCTTTCAAATAAATAAATAAATCTTAAAAAATACACTCCTTGGCCTGAAAAGACTTATATATTGTATAAGTTTATATATATATATATATGATATAACTTCTATAAGTTTTCCTACTGATTTTTGATTTTTTTTTTTTTTTAAGTTCCTGAGGGAGACGGAATCTACTTAAAAGGATCGTAAGTGATTTTTACCCAGGGTCTATTCTTTTCTTTGTTTCTCCTCGGTTTTAATCTCTCAAAGAACCTTTTACAATTTTTTAGGAACTTGGCCTGAGTTCTAACCTTTTATCTGCTTCTAACAGGGTGGCTCTGAGTGGGGCCCTTGCCCTCTAATACCAATTTTGTTAACTATTAGAATGGAGTTCATTATGCTGTTCTCTCAACTTTTGTACATGCTTTTAAGGATTTCCATAATACAAGTACTCTTTTTTTTAAAAGGGCAGCAGAAATAGATAAAAGTGTTTCTTGTTCCAGCACTACCTTTGGTGTTCTTTAAAGGTCAGGGGGAAGATCTGAATATACTTCGAGGCCAAGTGCAAAAGCAGGCATGGTCTGGGATCAGGACCTGTCTTTGGTGAGCAGAAGATGAAGGGAGTAGCTGTGTGTGTTTGAGGTGGGGCCACATCGAAGTTCTTAGTTGTGACTAGTGAGTCCTGACCCACCTAGACCAGGCTTGCTTTCTTTTATTGGGGGGTCGGGGATATTTTCAAAAGCGACTTTTTTTTTAAGTTTATTTAATTAGCCTCTACATCCAGTGTGGGACTTGAACTCCCAACCCTGAGATCAAAAGTCACATGCTCTACGAACTTTTCCGATGAAGCCCATCCTCTGCCCATCCTCTGCTCATCCTCTTCAGCCCCAGGTTTTTTCCTTTCCCCTGAACACTGGCCCAAACTTTCTGTTGCTCTGAGCCGTGGTATATGTTCCTAGGCTGGATGTGGTGCCATCGCCAAAGTCTTGCATGCTCTTAGCAAGATGATCAGGAATTTCTTCAGTCCTGGCAATCCTAGGATCTGCTCATTTCTGGGACGCTTTGGTCTTTGCCCTGAAGCCCTGATTAAGTGTCTCACTTCAGTGCTTGCGTTTCTGGAGCCATCTCCTCATTATTTTGTAAGAGTTGTTTCATTCTGATGAACGCGATATGCCTTAGGTAAAACTTTTCCCTGGTACATCGTGGAACTCACTGATGCCTCAAACCTCACACTTGACTTTCTGTAAAGTCCAGCCAGAGCTACTGAGAACAGAGACTTGGGGATCCATCCTAAAAACCCCAGAAATACATTTTGATACATGAGCTCGGGAGATGTTCCTAGCAATCCGATGAATCTGCACACGTCCCTCCTAGTTTTCCGGGCAAGGACAGGGGGCTCTGAAGGGCGGAGACTCAAAAGAGCCCGGTCCTCGCCACTTTGAGGCTGGAGATAGATGTAGCGCCACCTGCCACGCTGATAGGGAATTGCAAGGCGCTCCCCGTTGACTTAGTGATAATGATTTTGTTTTTCTTGGTAAAACTCCACATCTTTGAAGAGGGCGAGAAGGGAGAAGAGGAAGGAAAGGATTAGATTGAGATTGTGCATAACTGCATAATAAGTGAATTTGAAGAATTGAGGTGTGGAGAGCAAATACAGTCACCCTGGCGCTGTTAATAGCGACTTTGTGAATAACTTCTACATAGGTTTCCCCTTTACTTAGAACCTGCTACCCCATCTACTTCCCCCAAACCGCAGTGTTTCTCTAAAGGAGGAGAGACAAAGAAGTTGGCTTACAATTTGCTGCCTAGTCTGATACTTGGTTCTCACATACTCATTTAAGCGATAGGTATTGGGCACATCGTGTACTAGCGTTAGACCCTGAGCAAGATGCTGGGGCCGGCCTAGTGGGCAAGACAGACTCAGACCCCTCTTCTAATGCAGGAGTGCCCACCGGCCTGTTGGTATGTTCTCTTTGGCCCACATAGGGCTGTAAGTGCTGCAGTGTTTTTTCCCCTCTTGAAACATTGGGAAATTTGGCCCCTTAGAACTGTATTTCCACGTGGCGTAAATGTCAGGGAAGTGAGGGGGTGGTGTTGAGAAATACCTACCATGGTAAGCACAGGCTTACCTACCACCTACCTTGGCCTCCCTCTCCTATTGTATTCGATCTGTTAGCTCTTGGGGGCCTCTTTGGTTGCGATCCCCATCTTTATGTGCCTCCTTCTGCAGTGATCACCCTGTGACACGGGGCACCTTGGGTGAGAGCCAGGACAGGAGGCCAGGTTGGGATGGGAAGTGTGGCTCCCAGCTGGTTCTCTCTGCCAGTGGTGGATGCTCTTGAGCTCTGCCCTTCATCCAGCCCTGCGCAGGCCACTGCTACACCACTCGCATGAGCCTGCTGTTCAGGATTAGATTTTGCCTCAGAAAGGGGAAATTGCCCTGGCCTTTTCTAGGCCTCCACACCTGTCTTTGTCTTTGTGGTTCCTTCTGCCTGGGGGCCACCTTTGAAAGCACATCCCGCCTCTCTTTCTCGAGTGTTCTGGAGGCTGGGCTTCAAGGCTGGGGGCAAAAGGCAGCAGAGACTAGAGCTGCCTACAGGGGCTCTCCAGATTCTACCGGATCACTTGCCTTGATCTGTTTTACATATTGGGCTTTCTTGTAAATTTCCTTTGAAGAAAGCATTTCGAAGCCCAAGGTATTGTCTGTTTCATTAATTGAGAGCCCACAAGTTGCCTTAGATTATTCGTTCTTTCCTTATGTTCGTATCTGGTTTCTGTAATTGCATCTTGAATTCTGGAGGGTGGGGTCTCTGTCCTCTGTGTTTCTCCCCACCCAGAGCCCAGCCTGGGACTGCGCGAAGGAAGGTAAAAGAATAAATATCCTTTGCACAATCAAATCAATATCTCATTTCCTGATTGTTAGAGCACAGAGTTTATAGGTGATACAGATTTAAGTTTTAATAGCCCGAGACCCTCTTCTGAGGGCACATGCATTCCTTACTTCTCTGAAAATTTGTATAGTTTTGAATATGGAAGCCATCCATACCATCGTCTCTATGTTTCTCTTATCCGTCCGGCTCTGTCTCATTAAGTCTGGGGCTAAAAGTAAGGGACAGGTAGTGACAGGCCTGGTTGGAACAACCCTGGGAGCCTCAAGCCACCTGATGGTGAGGGAGACAGGGAGGGCTGGGCCCTTTGACAGCATTCAGGGTGGAGACCACAGACCTCTCAGAAATACCCTGGGGATTTCCCGGACTCTCCCGCTAAGAAACACTGTCCTTACAACACGGCCTCTCCAACTGGGCAACTGAGTACTCTCTAGGGGAGAGCCCACATCCCCGGGCAAGGTGGAGGGATGACTGACTGGCACTTGGGAGCCCTGGTTTCCTTGCTAACCCCACCACATCGTATTTACTTAACCTTCAGCAGTCACTGGCATCTTTTAGGGCTGTTTCTAGTTTTAGGGATTAAATATGGAAGAGTCCTCACAGCACGATTTCCCATAGGTTCTAGATCTCCTCTCTGACTCAGCAGACAACACTTTATGCCAGTGCAGCCCCTGAAATTTCAGAGGAGGCGGTGAGGATAAAAGGCCCCTGAAGCAGGCATACATACCATTCATCTCAAGTCTCCACCCAACCCTTAAAGGTGCATTTTTGTATTGTCATCTGCACCAGATGTCAATGTTTTTGTGTTAAAACAATTTAAAAATTATTTTTGCGAAACCCATTATTTACCGTCCTCAAATTTTGGAGTATGATTGACGTCCCAAGGATACATGACATGCCGAGTCCCTGGTTTGGTGAATTTCCAAGAGGGTCCTCCTGCTACTTCTATGTAATTTTTTTTTCTCTTTCACGTCTATGTCATTTTTTGTGTGTGTGGGGTCAGTTTTAAATTCCAAGATGGAGAATATGACTTTATAATAATTATTCCATAGAGCAATTCTCTTTATCCTCCTAGTAACCCTATGAAATAGGTACTATTCGTTACCTCCATTTTACAGACGAGAAAACAGGCCCAGGGATATGTTATAACAGTAAGTTGCTCGATGTTGGTTCGTAAATGGTGAGGCTGGGATTTGACCCTGAACCTGTGCTGTTGACCTTACTCTGCTGTCTGCCTGTGGAGTAGACTAAGCCAGGAAGACCGATTTCTTTTCTGTCATTAATAACGGTTCGAATTATGATGCTGCTTTTCAAAGAATTTCATGTCATTTCCAGGTAACCTATTTCTCTAGAACTCAAGAGGCTCAATCATTGGGCTTTATGTCTTCAGTTAGCAAGAACTTGATCAGCCTCAGGTCTGTGGCCACCGATAGACTCTACCTGATGACCCCCAACTCATCCACTTCCGAGAGATGCCCCACAGAGAGTAACCTCTCTGACTGGAGTGACCAGTGTCAGACTAGAGAGAGATTCAAACTGAGGCTTGTGTCCCGATCCCCAGGTGATGGATCTCCATAAGCCATGTAGTTGGGGTGTTTTCAAACAGTGTGACTAAGATACAAAAGATACTGATATTGAACTTGCTGCTGTGGCTTTGTAGTATTATTTGGTGGTGATGCTCTTTACTTTTCATTCATTGTGTTTCTTAGCTATGTAAACAAAAAGCCAAAGTGATTCATTACCCACAGCTCTGTTTAATGCTTGTGGTTTAACATTTGCCAGATAATTCAACATATAGCCACACATCACCCCGGGTGAACAACAACAAAATCTTTCTGTTCCTTTCTTTCTTTCTTTTTAAAAATCTGTTTCTTTAGTTACTTTTATTTATTTTATTTTTTAATATTTTAGTTACTTTTAATTAAAACCTTTTTTAAAGATTTATTTATTTATTTTGAGAGGCAGAGGGAGCACGAGTGAGTGGGGGGTGGGGTGGGAGGGACAGAGGGAGAGGAAGAGAGAGAATCCCAAGCAGACTCCTTGCTGAGCGTAGAACCTGACGTGGGGCTCGATCTCATGACCCTGAGATCACGACCTGAGCCGAAATCAGGAGTTGGATGCTCAATTGACTGAGCCACCCAGGCGCCCCCCCCCCAATTTTTTTAAGTGATCTCTACACCCAACGTGGGGCTCAAACCCACAACCCCCAAGAGCAAGAGTTGCACGCTCCACTGACTGAGCCAGCTAGGCACCCCATGTTTCTTTAGTTACTTTAAAAAATTTCTGGATTAGGACTGTAGGCTTATGTATTCAGTGTGGCAACAGCAACAACAAAGAGTCAGAGAACAAACGAACCCATCTCTTAAGGTCTTGAAGAGACATAAAACATAGAAATTAGATCTTCCCCACTTTCCTACCTCTGGACCTACACACATTACCTCCATAGGTGCTCATGGGTTTGTTTGCCTATACTGCCTTACTGGGTCCTATCATCCGTCTCCTAATTGAGGCTCCTGCAGTTACCCATGTGTTCCTCAGCATCATCCACTTCTCCCACTCACATTCCCTTCCAGCTACTGTGCCATTTCTTGGTGGTGTCTTTATGTACTGCCTCAAATGCATTTCCTCCCATGCTCCATTGTTTTCATTCCAGTTAGGTTTTGCCTGCCCACCCCCACCCCCCAGGCTCCAAATGACTCCTGTCAAGAGTGCCCAGGAACTCCACCTTCCAAATCCAGGGCTGAGTTCTCAGTCCTTATCTTCTTGAGCCTTCAGGCAGGATTTGACCCAGCTACTCCTACCCTTTTCCTTGAAATCAGTTTCTTCACTTGGTTTCCTTGACACTACACTTGGTGCTCTGCCTATCCGAGGGTGTTCTTTGCCGATTCCTCCTGGCATTGCCCCAGCCTCTTCATATTCAAGTGCCTCGGTCCTCCTACCACTTCTCTATCTGTCCTCACTCCCAAAGTCAGAATTAATCCCTTGGCTTTACATACTACTTAAACGCTGATGATTTCATCTCCCAGCTTTCTGCTCAATTTCAACTTCATCTCTGCTTGGATGTCTCCTTGGCACCTCCAGCCTAGCATGTCGAAAACCCAGCTCTTCATTCCCCTCTGCATACCTCCCCACTCCTGCTGTACCCAGCCTGTCCCAACTTGGGAAAGAGCAGCTTCGTTTTTCCTGTTGCCCAGGCCAGAAACCCTGGAGTCCCCATTGAGTCTTCTCTTTAGCTTACCCCACCTCAGCAACTCCTGTCTTCTCTGCCTTAAAAATATATGCTGAATCTGACCAGTCACCCTTATCTCCACTGATACCGACCGGGCCAGGTCACTGTCTTCTCATTTGGATTCATCAACTAGGCACTTTGTCCCTCCCTTGCCTCAAGAGTTACCCTCTTAGATGGTTCCACTCTCCTGATCAGGAGCCCCATGCCGTTTGCTATTTCTCTCCGAGTCCAGACCGCAGTCCTTGAAAGATGATGGCCTAGAGAGCCCTATGTGATCTGCTCCCTCCATCCCCACTCAACCTAATCACTGCCATGTCCTTTTTTTTCCCGTTCTGCTATAGTGAGCACTGGCCTCTTTGCTGTCCCTGTAACTGACCAGGAATGCTCCTACTTCAATGCCCCTGCACAAGTTTTTCTTCTGCCTCACCCCCTCATTTATTGCCCAGCTCTCTCCAGAACCTGCTTCCTGCCTTCCTTCAGGACTCGATTGAAGTGCCTCCTTGATCAGAGGGGCCTGCCTTCCCCGATCACTCCAAGCAAAAGAATAACCACCCCTACTCCTACCCCTTCCTGCATCCCAGGATTGTTTGTTTGCTCTGTCTTGCCAGAGACCTCATCACCAGCTAGCTTACTTTGCATTTATTTGATTGTGTGTCTTTCCCCTCTGGACTAGAAACTCCCTGAGGTCAGGTACTTTGTCTCTTGTTAATTGCTGGATCCCCTGAACTTAGCCTGGTACCTAGAAGTTAGAAGTACTCAATAAAAAATAACGTTTGAATGAATAAGGAATTCCCTGGACAAGGTAGTCAGAAATAGGCTGCGGGGAAATGAGGATTTGCCTGGGGCGAGAAGAGGACCTAAAGCATCTATGACATTTAGTGTATTCTAAGACCCCCCTCCCGCCCCCACCTACTCCCCATATTTGACCATTTTTAAAATCTGGATGTAGATTAGAATGGGCAGCCACTCTCAGTAGCCATCTGCCAGGCCGTGGTCGTGCTGTTGCTGTTCCCACGCATGCACAAAGTTGGCCAAGAGCTGTTTACACGGGCAGCAGTTTCGTTGAGTTGTATTGTTGGTTCTATATATGACTGGGGGTATCTGCCATTTGATATGCTCTCAGTAAGATTACACTTACCGAAATGAAATTTTATTGGCATTGAAACAAAATCCTATTGTGTGCACAAAAAGGAAGGCATTAGCACGGCAGGGAGCAAATTTGATATTAGTGAGGCAAATGTTCATTGTTGGAGAAATGACTGAAATCCCACGTTTTCTTTTAAAGCAACGACTGGGAAAATACAAGTAGTTGAAACTGTTTCATTTGCCGCTGAGATAGATGCAGAAGGACTGCCAGTCCCGTGCCAAGCAGCACAAATGAAGGCAGGAGAAATAGCCCATCTCTCCAGACAATGCAAATGAGAAGCTCGTTTGACCCTCACTCAGGACTGTCTTTGAGGCATGGCGGCGTCATAGTTAATTGGCCACGTTTGTTTGTTACATAAAAGAAGGGAATGTCTTACAATGCACGACATTTCAGGTCGGGTGAAACAGAGTGGGTGTCTTTTCTACATCTTAGAATTCTAAAACTAAGTTTGTAAATCTTATTTTGTCATTTCTAGTTATTTTCATCTTTAAGATTCCAGTGTATCTTAAATCCGTGAGTATTTAAAGCGTATGCTACCATAGGCATTCAGCAACAAGGGAGAGGCTTGGTCAGTTACAGTTCGTTGGCTTTCTTATGGAATGTTTCTCTGGCATTTAAGCGCAACCAGCACCATTGGGAGTAATTATCCAGAAATGAGTTTGGACTTCAGTTTGCTACAATTAGTTGAAGGTAACTTTTTCAGACAGCTGCAGGTTTGGGTTTTGAACTCTTTCTTTTGAAATAATTACAGGCTCCTAAGAAGTCACACAAATCGTATGGAGAGGGCTCGCGGAGCCATCACCCGGCTTTCTCCCATGGTGACATCTTATGTAAGATGCAGTTTTTAAGGGGTCATCTTGTTTTCTTTTTTTTTTTTTTAAAGATTTTATTTATTTATTTGACAGAGACAGAGATAGCGAGAGCAGGAACACAAGCAGCGGGAGTGGGAGAGGGAGAGCAGGCTTCCCACCGAGGAGGGAACCCGATGTGGGACTCGATCCCAGGACCCTGGGATCATGACCTGAGCCGAAGGCAGACGCTTAACGACTGAGCCACCCAGGCGCCCGGTCATCTTGTTTTCTTACAATGACCCGTTAGGGTAGGAATTGAGAGGAAAAGTCGTTTTGTCATACTGTACAGCCAGCCAGTTCACGGTACAGGGTTCCCAGTCACAGGAGGTGAGATCAGAGGCATTGATGTCACAGGGGGATTCATAATATTGACCATCCTGTCACAGAGGAAATAATCAGGTTAAATTAATTTGCAACCTATTCCTCCCAACAGAAGAACTCTGCATCGATCTGTTTCGATCTGTTTTTGCTTCGACACAGCCTCTCTTTCAATGAAATTGTTTTAGAGTGATGGAAAATGCTCTACAGGGGCACCTGGGTGGCTCAGATGGTTAAGCTTGTGCCTTCGGCTCAGGTCATGATCCCAGGGTCCTGGGATCGAGACCCACGTCGGGCTCCTGGCTCAGTGGGGAGTCTGCTTCTCCCTCTCCCTCTGCCTCTTCCCCTGCTCATGCTCTCTCTCTCTCTCTCTCTCTCTCTCTCTCTCTCTCTGTCTCTCTTTTTTTTTTTTTGAATAAATAAAATCTTTTAAAAAAAAGAATAAGAAAATGCTCTACAAAACTCTTTAGTTCTAGAATCGCAGAGTCAGAAGGGACTGAAGGTCAGCCACACCCACTGGATAGGGTGACTTCCCCTTTATCATCCCTGCCAGGTTCCTAGTCCAGCTCTTCCTAAGGCCCCTCCTCTGCTGAGGGCCTCAGTCCACTTTCTACATGGACTTTTCTGACCCACATGTCAGACAACAGTCAGGTATCTCTGTGCTTTCTTGCCTTCTCTCTGCTTAAATATGTCCAGATCCTTTAATCCCGGCGTACCTGAGCTCCCCTCACTACCCTGCCGGCTGTTTCTCCACAGGCTGACTTTTTCGATAGCTTGGCCACATCCTGGAGGGAGGATAATGATGGATCAGGTATATTCATTAGAGAGTGAACTGAGAGATACAGTATAGGAAAAATAACAATAAAGAGGACTTGGTACAAAAAGCTCACCGTTAAGATCATATTTGTTTTTAAGCTTTCTTTAAAGATTTTATTTATTTGAGAGAGAGAGAGAGAAGGAGAGCACAGAGGGAGAAGCAGATTCCCTGCTGAGCAGGGAGCCCCTTGTGAGGCTCAATCCCAGGACCCTGAGATCATGACCTGAGCTGAAGGCAGATGCTTAACCGACTGAGCCACCCAGGCACTCCAAGATCGTATTTTTTTTAAATGAAGTCATTCCCTCCTTTTCTTGTTTTCTCTTTCCCATTTCTATTATTTATTCCCTATGATAAGCCAGACTTCTGTGGTTTGGTCTATGTTGTGACAACCCCGTTACTCCTGTCTTCCAGCCAAGTCCCCTCCGCAATACCTCTCCCCCCGCCCCCCAACACCACGACATCTTCCTGGATACCTGGCCTGCAAGTTGTCTTTGTTGCTGTTTTTGATTCTTCTACACTATTGCTAGGTACGAACTGGGTCACCTCCACATAGTTCATGACTGATTTGTAAGGTCTTCATGCATCTGCACTAAACATCAGTTATGCCTTTGAAAATCCTGGTTCTTCCCATTTGTAAAAACATCAGAATGGTCACCACCCCACTCCCCACTGCCACCTCCAAACATTTGGTATGTCATGGTGGGGGGCAGCAAAAACCCACACAAAGTACTCCAAGGACTTTTTTTCAGGGGACTCAAATTCTGAGAATTGATAAGACCGATTTTTCAGTGTCTTCTCCTGCAAATACTGTTCAGAATGTTTAAAAAAACAGAAGGAACTAAAATACGAATAGAAAATTTCTGGTCACTTCTAGCCCCGTGTCATAGAGACAGGTCAGGATGTGACAACATCAGGTTTGGGAAGATTATTTCTACTGCATGAGAAACTGGACAGTGTAAGTAGGAGAGTTTACTACTGGCTTGAAATGTAGAAAGTCAAATACAGCAATATCATTAACTTGGCTGTGTTCGGGTAGCAGGGACCTGGAGGGCTGGGGTAGAGATAGCCAAGTTACCTAGTCTGAAAACACATCTGGCTCATTTTTTTTTTTTTAGATTTTTATTTATTTACCTGAAAGAGAGTGAGTGTGAGTATGAACGGGGGGAGAGGGGCAGAGGGAGAGGTAGAAGCAGGCTCCCCACAGAGCAGGGAGCCTGACTCGCGGGGCTCGATCCCAGGACCCTGGGATCATGACCTGAGCTGAAGGCCGATGCTTAACCGACTGAGCCACCCAGGTGCCCCTCACATCTGGCTCATTTTATGTGACCCTACTATTGATATATCCTTCTAGATTATATAAATAGATCTGGACTAAAATCTCCAAAATATTAATGTTATATGGCAGATTTGGCAGTGTGTCAGCCTGGGCATACAAACTGTCATCCCTAAAGAGCTGTCGTTTCAAATTACAGTTTTCAAATTGAGGAACATAGAGGCATGGAAAAGTTAAAAGCTTTCGCTTATTCAGAGTGCTCTTGAGATAATTTATTTGGAGAACCCCCCGCCCCCCAAGAAGGTTGTGCTGGCGCAGAAGACACTGTCCCATAAATAGCAATGAACTTTGAAAAATGTGACAGTGTGATAAAGACACTATTCTCCTCGAGCTCCTGTGTGTGGAATATTCTGTAAGAGTACTAAAATCATAGGGTGCTACTTGCCTATCTATAGAATATCTGTAGATGAATAGATATACCATGCCTTTCTCTTTAGATGGCCAAGTTTTTCCCATGGTAATATTTAGATTCCACGAATTACTAAATAGATCGGATTCAAAAACATGGCATAAAAGGAAGTGCCTTTCTATAGGAATCTGGTTAGAGCTGCACCCTGACTACAAATAACCGAGCTGTGTTCTTGCTCTTTACGTACATTCCCAAAAAAACTGATTTCATAGGTTTTGGTCCATCGTTCTCTCAACCTGACTTCTCGTAAATTCTTAAAACGATGAGGATCCACTTATTTCAGCATAAGGAAGTTCAGACATTTTGTCCAGCAACTCTCTTCGCACCGAAAACTATTCTAAAAGAATGCCCACTTTTTCCCGACGGTTTGTTGTTGCACGCAGCATTCCCTTTGGAAAGCTCGGGAGAGGTGAAACTCATTTCTGAGCGATTGTTTTCATAAACTCCGTACTTGGCTTCTAGCACTGAAGGCTAGATAGTGTGTAACCTGGTCGCTACCCAGTATTAGCCACGTTGTTTTCACACTGCTCTCCAAGGGCCAAAGATTATCTCACAGAAGCTCCGAAATAATTCCTGTTTCTGAAATTCATGTGTAAAAGGAAATTTTTAAAGGGAAGAGGGTGAGACTCAAGTTCAAACCCTTAAGAATTTTTGTACAGGATTATATTGATTAACAGAAGCTCTCAGGCATCTTCTGGCAGCTGTGTGAGAGAAGGCAGTGGTTATAATTAATTTTCAGTGAGCGCCGCATATTTGATAATTGCTCTGATTCACGCTATTATATTCCTCTTCCTTCATCCACAGCAAAACAAGCTTAATTTGATTCATACCCTTAGGAAGAAAAAAAAGCCTAAGATTACTCACATGGCTGTGATTCAGCTCTTGGCTCCCACCTCCTCCTCCTCGTCGTCCTCCCCCCTTTCTCCCACCCTGCCACCCCCATACTCACTCCCACTCAGTGGCGTTGCCATCAGAAAACTGAGTCAGTTCGTTCTTTAACATGGGTGGGGAAAGAAGACAACTAATAAACTTTTCTGAGCAAGTATACACTGCTTAGATCTGAAAATCACTGCAGGAAGATGGGCAGTGCGGCTGCTTATATAACATGAAAAGCATGGAACAGAGAGGCAAGCTCTCCAGGAGAAATATTCAGATTGCCTGATATAAGTCTAGATAGAGTTGTTGTGTGTGTCCGTAGAGGTGTACGCATACACAGCCACGTAGGCAGGTTTCTTTTTTTTTTTTTTTAAGATTTTTTATTTATATACTTGAGAGAGAGAGAGAGAGCGTGAGCGTGCGCACAAGGAAGGGGGAGTGGGAGAAGGAGAAGCAAACTCCCCGCTGAGCAGGGAGCCCTACTCGGGACTCAATCCCGGGACCTTGGGATCATGACCTGAGCCGAAGGCAGATGCTCTACCAACTGAGCCACCCAGGCGCCCCCATCCCCATGTAGGCAGGTTTCTATGAAAATTCTGTAATATTGGGACTCTCACATATACTGTATACAAAGGTAGTCTTCTGATCTCAAAGGATACTTTGTTATAATCAAAAAGTGAATCTAGCAGCTGTCCAATGTTTTTGATCGTCGTAACACATAGGTGATAAAGTTGCTTTGCAACCTTCTACCTCCAAAAGAGCAATGTGACTTGGAAAGCCTCAGACTGTTGGGTTTCCTGCCCCGCCCCCCCCCGCCCCCGCCAGAGTTTTAAGATTGGTAGCCAGGGATGGCAGCTCACCCTTCATGGTGACAAACATGACTGAGGCAGCAATTTCTCTTCATTCCTTGGGTTTTCTCATTTATTCCCATTCTCCAGATGAAACAAAAGCCTTGGCGTGAAATGAGATGACTTTCCCACGTCCCCACAGGTGATAGTCCCAGAGCCAGTCCTGGGACCCAGGTTGTTTGCACCCTGACCTGTAGTTCTGGTTTGTGGGAACCCGACACAGTTGGATCATTTGGTATTTTAGCGATTGCCTGGGGACAGGAGTGGTAGCCGGGAGGAAGTTCTCTGCTGGAGCTCCAAACCTGTCTTTCACTGAACTGTTGAATCAGGTCTCTGTGCATCTTGGAACTGACACGCAGGGGAACAAAATCAAGCCTTCCCCCCAAACTCTCATTTGTAATCCTAACCACCTTCTCTCCATTTTGCTGGCTTTCCCCCTCATTATGTTACCATCTGTCTCACAAACATTGCCTGGATAAAACAGGTCAGAGCAGTTGCTCACCCTCGAACAAAACATAGAATCACTTCTTGTGTCCCCCAGAGCAGTGTCGAGCACCATCTTTGAGGAGTCCCATATCTATAAAGTTCGCCTGAGCCTCAGAAATGTCTGGTGCTGTCCTTTTTATCATTCTTCAGATATGTTAGATGCTGGCTGGAAACGATTAGCTTGAATTTCTTCACATAGTTTTCAGATGGAAACCCATGTAGTTTTCTCCTTTAAGACATGAAATTTCTTAATGAAAGACCACATAGGAGAGAATGCATGCTGAGGGGTTTTTTTTTTTGTTTTTTTTTTTTTTGTACCCCCTTCACACCCTCCATTCTTTGGTTTTCCCTTAGGGTAGCTATCGTAGAGTTTTATGTCCTGTGACCCTGTAGAGAGAATAAACAGTGGATCTCGGGTACTTTTTAAAAATGTATTTAAGGGCGCC